CCGCCTTCAGGCCGCCCATGACTCCCGGGACAGACTGACCGCTCTCCCCTGGAGGCACCTGCTTCCCGCAGGAAGTCAGTGCGGGCAAGGAAGAAGGATGCTACCCTCGATTAATCAGCGAGGAAGCAATCCCTGAGACGTAGCAGGGCAGCTATTACAGCTGCCCTTGCGGTCTTAAGTAACCGATGACGTTAAATAATAGCATGACACAGTAATTAGTTTTGTACAGGCTTAACAGTAACCTCAGAGGCATGAACCATGGTGTGAGGTGCACAAATGACCTGTGCGTGTTCAGCGGCCCCTCAGACACGGCCAGGCCCGGTGTGGTCACACAGAGCTGCAGTGCCCCGTGCTGGGACACCTGACTGCGCTGCTGCCCACATGCTGCTAGCTGGGCAGGTGCTAAAAGGTATTTAAACGTGTAAGACATCAAGAGGTGTGCAAATCCTGGACAAGCCCTCAAAATCTACACCAAACAAGGGTTGGGGGGATACTTTGGTCACCCTTAATAAACCTCTGAAATAATACTTGAACAGAAGTTTAAGATTTATGTGTCAATTTCCAGTGGGAACCACATATGAAACTAAGTAATTGCACATCAAGGTCCATAACCTGATTATTTTGAGATCTCCTACCGAAACAGGCTGCAAAGAATAATAAAAGAAAACACCATCATATTTTTCAAAAGGCACTGAAGAAGACGGTGCTAAAGAGCATCTGATGAAGCACACCCAAGAAAGGCACAAGGCACTGACTCACTGATTCCGGAGCCATCATGCAGGAGATATAGTCATCTCAAAGCTAAGACACTTTGCTCCATACTTGGGAAAACTGTCAGTGGTGTTCACGAGATGCTGGTCATGATCAAGAGTCTTCAATTAGGAAGTTAAAAAGGTGACCTTTTCTGCCAAACGATAGGGAAACAGCCAAGAAAATGCTGATGTGTGATGCTCCTGCACCATCAAGCAAAATCAATGAGCCACAGCTGCTTACACAGCTTTGAAAACACATCCAGTGTTTCCCTTGCCTTAATGTTCCATTTCATTGCCATTTGTCAGCTTTAGCATCTTGTAACTGCATTAAACTGATGGAGGAGGGCTTAGCAAATGGTAGGTTTTGAAGTCAAAGTTCTTTCACTACAGAAGAAGCCAGCAAGGACTGTGGAAGATCATCCCACATTCCTGTGCCCATGTGATGCTCTGGATTGCTGCACAAAGCCTGCCCAGCCCAGAGCAGCATCCCCAGAGTGCCTTGCAGAGGTGATGTACATCCTGACAGGCATCACTGCAATCGTGCCATAATCCTGAAATCTGAGCATCTTCAGTACCAGGAACAGGATAAACAACTAAATATTGACTTTGAGATAAAAAATACCTATCATCACCAAGGACCAACACTTATGACACTGGCTCACACTGAGCTCAGCTCAAACCCAGGGGGCATGGTTCTGGGATCGTGTATCATGCTACCAGAGCAAAATAAATCTTACAGAAACAGTGTAATTGCTGATATGGAAAATAACAGTAAAAAATAGCTGACAGGAGTTGAACTAAAGTATATCAGTTATTTATCCATTCAGTTCAAACACTGTACAGGTGACAGAAGCTAGGAGGTGTGGGAGTGGAAATTATAGAGTAAGCACATCTCAGGATAGTGTACTCAAGCAATTGATTGAAATCTGGCAGAATGGCTCTCCCTGAATTCCAGAATCAATACCTCATTGCAATGCGAGGTTCTCACCTCCTACATGTATTGCTTGAGGCTAACAAGTGCCTGTATTACAGACACTGGAGCCACAGCTTCTAAACACTTTAAAATGAACAAACCAGCCCCTTTTCAGAGCCATGCCATCATTCTCCCTTTTCTCCCACGTTTCTTTGCCTCCCCACCACTCCTTCCTATAGATGGCACCGTATTACCACATTTTGAATGACATCCAGAAAAGGATAAGTTAGTGATTAATTAATATTAATCAGGGGTCAACTGACAAAGGAGCAAGCTGCTGGAGACAGAGCAGATAAGAGAAGTCAAAATGGCTTCTTCTGGGAACTGCAGTAGGGTAAAGCTTGAGATGCCAGGATGTTATAACATGATCCAGTCTTTCCTCACCAGCAGGAGGACAAAAGGTCTATTTATAAACTTAAATTCAGCTCACATGCATTGAGGAAACAGCAGTATTATTTGAAACCTTTGCTAGTCATGTCTGCTATGCTCCTCTGCCTTCCCATGACAGAAAGAAACAACTGCCTGCATCTCAGTACTTCCACCCAATCCAAATGCACCATCACTGTAAGGCTGATGAGAAAAGAAACAAAGAGCAAATATCTTGGAGAGGACAGTCCTAAACCACTACTGGAAGATTTATAAAAATGTAATATACACTAAGTGATCTTGGGCAGCAGTACTGATAGGTTTATCTGCTCCAACCCCATCACTGAAGTTTATGAAGCAACTAATTTACCTTTAGGACTCAGCCATATTCAGTAACCCAAAATACAGACACTGTGGACTTTACTAATAAGACAATTCCCCTATGAAATTACACTATTGTGGACTTTACTAATAAGACAATTCCCCTAACATCTGCAGCACTCAGCCATTTAACACAAGGCTGCTATTTGAGATGGCCAGGGGAAACTGGGAGATACTGATTAGAAGTATATGAAATTACACCATCTTGCAAAGAGCACACTTTCTTAAAGATTTAGGGCATATTCTGTGTGACTGTTCAGAAGACTAAACACAGCCATAAATGCTTGAAACAAGCAATGATTGCCTCGTAGTTGTTCATTTACATCTTAAAGCAGACAAGAGACCTTACTGCAAAATGACACTGCACAGACTACTCTCCCTTTAGCAAACATGACAACTGTTAATCTTTAAAGAATGAAGATTTTACAACACAGACTTCATTTTACACTAAGTAAACCCACAGAATAATCAGACTTCACTTCATGCTAAATAAATACCCTGAATGAACAATATTCTGCTTAAGAGTACAGATACAAAGAGTATCTGTAAAAGGTAAGGCAAGTGCAGTTGACAGAAATTGACAGAAGTTCCCCTTCACTGAATTACACTGCTGTCACAAATGTAAAGTTCTATGACACATATTCAGATATAACACCAGCTAGTGGTGTATTGTAGCAGTTGGTAAGCACCTATTCATCCATCAAATTAATATCTGATAAGAGATAGGCAGAATAGGCAGAGGCTTAGCCAGAGGTAAATACTAAAGCAACCAAAAAGAGATTTCTAACAGAATGGTAAATGTAACTGTCATTCCAACATTCTTCTCTTTGCTTATTACAATTATACAGTGCAGCAAATGTTTAGATTTCAGTGTATGGCTGAATCTAAAGTAAATCTTGATTCTTCCTGAGGTTCCTTAGCCCTTTTCTCACAGTTGTTTTCACCTCCCTTGTAAAATAAATCAAATAAAATAAAGCCCTGTTCTCTGAACTCCAAATACCCCAATCTTAAGGTCAAGGATGTTTTTGCTACCACACCCATTTCTTTTAACCTCTCAATGCCCTTTGATCAAGGGCTGTTGGCATCGGAAGAGCGTTGCTACAGTTGATATTATCTGCAGCATTACAGCAGAAACCTGAAACAGTCTTGCTGCCAGCTGACACAATACTGGGTTTCTGCAAGGTGCTGCAAAACTTTTTAAATCATTTTAATCTACATAAAAATGGACCAAAGAGGCAAGAGCAAAATAAAATCTCTGTTCTGAGAATTAAACACTTCGTGTAATCCGTGGTGCAAGATGAAAACCACAGAAACAAAGTAAACCCCCCAAAAATACAAATAAAAACAAAAAAAACCACCCCAAAATAAAAGAAAGGCTGTGATTACTCCAAAACCAGTACAGCAAGTGAGTTACAATCCTAATAGCTAAACAATTGTGATGAAAATGTTAATCTTATGCACAGTAAGCCTCAGCTTATGAAGGAACCTTGATATTATTACTGGGGAAAAAAAAAAAGCAAAAGCAGAGAAAAGCAGAGGATGTGTCCCCTTCTCCTTCTGAGAATGTATTTTCTATATTTTGAAACCAGATTTACCCTTAGAGTATTCTGAGTGAATTATCCTATTGCACTAAGCTGAGCACGTTAGGGCTCCACAAATGCTGCCTATTTCAACTTCCTGCCAGTTAAAAAGAAAAGCACACACAGCCTCTTCTAAAGTACGAACTTACATCTTCTGAGTACATCCATTGCTTTGCTGAAAGTTGAAGAAGGCAAGGTCAAATTTTATTCAGCACAAGCAGAAAGGTTTGTTATCATTTTACTTGTGAAGGAATTTATTAACTGCAGACTGAACCTGTCTCCCACACAGGAGCATGCTCACCTTTCTAATGTTCTCATGATTTCCTGAGGTGAATGATTAATTTCACCATCATTACATATAAACTTCCCCTCTTTATGAATATTCACACTATAGCATAGTTAAAGAGGAAATTTGCAAGATTAAAAATTGATGATTTCCAAGTTTGTACTCAAATATTCAGTGAACATTTTCTGGGATATAATAAAAGTAATCAACTCACTTCCATTTCACTTTAAAGCCACAGTGCACATGTACCACAGAAACTCACAGTCAAACATAAAGAGAAAGTAAGTTCCGCAAGTCTCAAGCTTATTCATATTTAACCTTCTTGTCCAGAAAGATGTTAAGGATGTTGGAACAAACAGTTAATAAACTAAATAACTTCACTTGAATGCAATGGGCTAGACTTCTAGAGTTAGTTATCTAACAAGGGCATTTTCTTCCAGGAATCCTCTTGCTGAGTACCCTAAACTAATATTTGGAATGAACAAAATATACCTTGCACAAGAGGTTGGAAAAAAATTGGCTTTATCTCTGTACCAATTTCTCAGTGTCCAGTTACTAAGGAAAGAGGATAAAGCAGAAAGAACACACATGATGCCCCAAACTCCTCCTCCCCCGCCCAAAACTGGCATTCATTTCATTTTCATTAAAAAGCAATCTACATGTACCTATATAAGAACACATATATTACCGAAAGACACAAAAGTCAAACATCATTGTAGAGAACACACAACCATCAAACTCTTACATTCAGTCCAAAATGAAGTATTAAAAGTTCTCTTCTATAGCAGCAACTTGATTCCAGGAATTTCAGTTCTTACAGCAAACAAACATAGTCATTACATATTTTTATATTTTCATTAAAGTGAGCAGACATAGGAACATTTGCCTTAAAGTGAATAAAAAGTTTACAAATATAACCTCTTCAAGTGATGTATTACAAAACTTCCATTTTTGAAATGGCATCTCTGCATTGTTCACAAAAACCACACCCAAAGACAGCGACGAAAAAAATTCTGTTAATATTGTAAGACAACAAGTATGGATAAAGGGTGTTTTAGCTGGCAATGAAGAATTCCAAATTTCTCCTTTACTAGTGTAGCATACTGCAGAGAGCACTGCAATATACACCACGGATTTTTCATGTTAAATCTATAATGTATTTATTATCACTCCATTTATTATCTGCTTATTCTGTCATCAAATTTAAGTTGCAGCCAGCTTAACTCCTTTATGTCATTATATCTGCAAATCATTCAAAACATTCAAAGTTGATATGCCACATTAGTTTAAAACACTAATAACAGCATTCCATCTTATTTTTATTTATTTTCAGAGAAATACTTACTCTAGTTGGTAAAACCATTGTTGAACACTCAGTATGTGGCTGAACAGAAATAGTGTAGAGCTAACACTGACCCAAAGGTTACTGATGCAACTAATAGTAAAAGATGTAAATTACCTTCTCTGTAAATTCATCAAGGACAGAAGGATTCCTAAACATTCCCTCTTGGCTATCTTCACTGCAAAATACGTATTCTTTTTATTCACTTCTGGCTGGGATTCTTCATTACTCAATGCCCATGTAAATGGATAATCTGTCTTTTATATCTTTTCCCTTCCCAAAAGAATGAATGATTTCAGGGTGAGTGTTTTCAGAGGAGGGATGCACAATGTAAAGCCTTTCAAAAGTTTTAAATATAAACCAACAACAATCAAGGCACTTAATGTAGTTATATATGAGCAAAATAAATTATTACTGAGAATTAGAAGGTCAAATCACAAAGTGAGATTATCAGCAAGAGTAAAATCACTTTCTTTTACAGCTTTGATTTGAACTCGCCAGAAACAAGCTTTTTCAGCATTTCAGAATTTTTTCCTTCTGGTGGGGAGGGCCATCTGTCATGATCTGAGGAAAACAAATAAAAGAATTTACTTAGGTGATTGAGAAACTAGACATTTTACTTTTGTGTCCTCCCACTGCACAACTTCAGTCACTTGAAGGGCATTATTATGTAGCCCATGTCTTTCTTACCAGGTATTTCTAGGCCATGGCCATACAAACTCTGGCCACCATCCACGACCATGGTTATCCCAGTTATGAATGATGCAGCTGGAGACAGCAGGAAACATACTGCAGGAGAGATCTAGCAAAAGAATGACATTTTAAAATCTTAATTTTAAAATCTCAAATGTTAATCTTTCTTAAACTGCAGAGAATTGTTTGTGTCAAAGAAGCTTGTGAAAACTTTTACAGGCAAGATCCAGTAACATTTTCCACTTAGTAATGAAAACTCTAACAGCCTTAAAGCCATCCTTCCAGCCACAAACATCAAGTATTTAACAGAGGAAAACCAGTAAGCTGTCAGAGAGCAGCATCAGATACCAAAAAACAACGAAAAAAGGTTGATCAGTTTATCAAAGATGCATATTCTTGGTGGAAGAGAGTTAAGTGCTTTTAAGATACTCTTTTTTCCCCTTAATATTCATTCTTTCAGTCCTTCTTGCTGAAGTCAGCTTTTCCAATAAATAATGTCTACTATCAAACACTTCAGCTGGCAGAGGCAGCTGAATTACATTTTCTGTGTAACAGTGACTAGTGGTTAAGTCTCTCACTTGGCACAACCACACATTGGTACAAGCTTTCTTCTTTTTAAATATTCCATCACAGCACAAAATTAAATCTTTTTTGTTCTCCATAAAATCAAGTGGCTTCAAAATAGAGACACAGAAGTAGGTGCACCAGAAGCATTCTGAAATACATTACCTCCTCAGGAACAGCTGACCTCTTGGCAGGAACCTTTGGTATGCTCTTCAACCACATCATTACACCTTGTTCTCCATAGTTTGCAACAGCAGTTTCCGAAAATACCAGTCCCTATTTAAAAACAGCACCATGAAACTTAAGTTCTCTTGCATACATTTAAGCTGATCATTCTAAAATTGTGGAGTTGTCATTACTGATTTTCTGTGGGACTGAACTATCTAAAGAGCACTTGAATACAAGTTTTTGAATGTAATAACATAGTATAATTTATACAAGAAGGTAATTTGGCTGCTAGCCACATCTCTGTTCAAGCACAATAATTCTGATTATTCCAATTCTCTGCTGTCACTTCAATAACAAAAAAGTGGAGTATAAAAAAACTCAGATGCTGCTTTGAAATTACAAGCATTTCATGTTAAATTACAGCAGGAAACTACAAAGCCACAAGAACAAGTTCTCAAAAGTTTCTTGTCATCTGTAGGAGCACTAGACCGATTTATTGTGAATTACAGAAGCAGACAGATTTCAGTCAGAATTCTGACTCTCCCTACTTAGCTGCTCTAGAAGCAGAAAAAGATGACTGTGTTTGCTCTGGTGACCACACAGTCACCAGAGTGACTGGTGAGAAGGAAGTTTTGAGAAGGAAGATGGCAATGTGAACACAGAGTTACATTCACCAGTTACGACAGAACTTCTGGGAGTCAAGTTAAAGTAAAATAGCAACATTTGAATTCACCTGTGAAGCATATACTAAAATGCTGAAGATACCTGTATAATGTATGAGAAACTCTTTTTTTCAGAATGCACACTTCCCTCTGTGTATCCATTCCCTACAGGTTACTCTCCTCCCATACAGCAGTAATAATTTTATATTGTTACCACAGACTTGATGGGTCCATAAAGGTGACAGAAGTATCATTGTACAACATGGATTTTTGTTACCAGCATAGTAACAAAGCTAGCAAATACTTCTAAAAGAGCCAAAGCCCTGAAGTGTTTGCTTGTCAAAAGCGTCTTCTGACATGTGCTATAATATCTAATCAGCATGATTCATTAGATAATTAGCATGCCTGAAAAGTATATTCACATAATAATGCTGTCTTAATTACTTACTTCCCCAAGACTTGATAAATCAGAAAAAGCAGATAAACAGGAAATACAAGTCAGTACATCTTAACATTTAACATGTCTCCAGATGAATCGGGTCTCACAAAGGTTACATAAAAGCCTTTACCTGAATGATTAACACACATCTGCCATTAAGCATTCTATGTTATGCCAAACAAAGCAAGCCAGATATTTTAGGACAAGAGACACGACAGAATACACAGACATTCTACAAAAACCGTAGCAAGATCTTCCTAGGGATCACTTAAATAAACATGACACCTCACTTAAGACACTGTGAGATAAGCTAAATTCTGACTGTAAAAGTAGCTGGACAAAGTATATGTTTCCTCTTTTAATTTCAAGGGAGTAAATGTGCAAAATAAGTTGTGGATAAGAGAAAACTACAACAGATTACACATTCTCAAATGTCAAGGCTAGAGCTTCTATATAACTTCTGTATTTGCAGCACTACAAAGCGTAGCTGCTCTTTCTATACAGTTATTTAAAACAACTCTACCTGCTGTCTACTTCCTCAGAAATGTGGCAGGCATATTTTAGCTGACCTGTATAGTGGTTTCCTGTCTGCATCAAGTTGTTATGAAAAAAATCAAAACACACACTTTTACATATGATTTCTCTGAGAGAAGGTACATTCCAATTACAGTCTCTTTATATGCCTAAAGCTAAACTAACTTAACATGTAGGAGACAAAGTAAAAGGCATTATGTGAGACACTCAGAGATTTTCAAACTAAGTTTGTAAACATAGGTGGAAACCATCAGCATACCTGAACCTCAAACAGAAAGGTTTCCTGAACTCAGAAGTAATGTATCTATTACTGCAACACAGAGCATTCAGTAATTTTATGTCAAGGCTTTGTAAGACAGGTCACCAACTCCTACCAGTATTATTTCATTTAGCTATAAAAAAAACTGAAAACCAAGCGTGCCAAGTCAAAGCAGAAAGCAGAAGCAATTTTATCCCACATCCTCTGACTCATCATCCAAAAGTACAAAACACTGTCAAATGGTCCAAAGAACACAGTAAGGGAATTATAAATAAACAAATATATAAATAATCCACCAACAGTTACTGGTAATAAATAAAAAAAATATTTAAAAATCTGTTTTGGTCCAAAAGCTTTAACTATGAACATATGTAATAGCTAATTTTAATCAGACCATTTGCTATTACTTACAGGAGCAACGCTGTTAATTCTTACTCCACTGTGAGCCCATTCTAAAGCTAAAGTTTTGGTTAGGTTATCCACTGCAGCTCTTGCAGCTCCTGAGTGCCTATGGAGAAAAGAAAGCAAAGGAAGCATCTGTTCCCTTAGCTAGTAGTGTCCAGTGTTAATGCTACTGCAGCCTCATTAGGGTATTCAGAGTGGTTTTCTGTGGCTGGACCAAGCATCTGGAAGAGAGAGACTCTTTAGCTTCCAAGTTTGACCATAGCTTCACTGTTTAAATAAGCCATGCTGTGATTTTCTGTCATTGCTAGAAATACTTAAAATCTCTTTCCCAATGACACATGGGGCCAACTGCACTCTACTGCAGGAGGAGGCTTATAAAAAGAGAAAGAACTGAAGTTCAAACTGTGTAAAACTACCTGCAGCTTGCACAGGTAAAGCAACACCCAGAACAGTGGTCTGGAAGATTGTTTAAATCTTCTGACAAACATGATTAAAGTAAATCACTGTTCAAAAATTACTTTAGGTGGATGGAGATAGAGAGAATCAGAGTGAACTCCTACGCCTTGCTGCTGTAGGTAACCAGTCTGAAATTATTACAAGTTTGAACAAGTGCAAACAAAATTACTGCAGTAATGAATTGTAGACAGCTGTAGTCAGAGGAAAATGAATAAATTTAGCTGCTTTAGCTAGCAAAAGAGACTAAAAGGAGACAGATACAATACATTCTCCAACACAGGGAAAGAATAAGAAAAGAATAAACCTAAGATAACCTATTCATGTGTTTAGGCCAGAAATTGATAACCTCCAGGCACACTCTGAGGAAACATGACAACTTCTCTGTTCAAAATTAGTATTTATAAAAAACTCCTATCGAGTAACTTTAGGCATGAGTGGTGGCTGGACTTGTAAAGGCATATCTTTTTCAACAGTACATTTCTGCAAGAAGTTCCAACTCAATTTAATTTGGAAGTAGTTTTGTCTATCCATCTGCATACAACGGTTAATTAGGAAAATTTTTTCACCGTTATTCAGAATGAGCTTGTTTTTCCTCTTAGTTCAACTCAAATTGAAACATCTTCAGCCTATTTGCCATGACAGCTGAACCAGATACCACAGTGGAGATACTCAAACCACTGTAGCTTCAGCACCACCGTGTGGATCTCTATGTTTATTCTGTATTGTGAAGAACGAGCTAGTGAAAAAATATGCTGCTGCTCCTTAAAATATGTTGGTTTTGAAAGCATTCAACCCTGAATGAGGACAAAGAGACCTAATGCAATTTTTGCTCAAAATATATTTTTATATTTCTTCAACAGAAACTCAATTTCCAAGTTAAAATAAAAACCAAAAACAAAACAAGAAAAAAACCCCAAAAAACAACAACAAAAAAAACCCCACAAAAACAAAACAAAAAAGAAAAACCAGAAAAGGGAGCCATTTCCAATTAAAGCTTCACTGGCAAGTCTTGCTTCATAGTTTCTTACAAACAAGTGGAGAGAGACCAGAGATGCCATCTACTGGATTATTAAGAGATCCCCACACACACAGCCAAGTGATACCCTTTCTCTCTCTTGACCTAACTACTGTATTTCTATACTCTGCAGCTGCCCAGTACACACCTTTCTGAAGGGTTTAGGAACAGTTAGTATTTCTGGGGAAAAAATATAGGAAAGTATAAAAAGAAAATATATATTACGACATTCCAGGAAAGCCATTTCTCACGGCAGCAGTAATGTTGACAATGGCTCCTCCATGTTCCTGCATCCAGGCATTGTACACTGTATGAAGGAGGAAGATAACCTATAAATACCAGAAGAAATGCATACAAATGAACTTGCCAACTGGAAACCAGATTTGGAGTCTTAACTGCAATCACACTACACTTTTGTCATACTGGTTTAGAAAAACAATCTGCTGTTTGCCAATCCAGAGGTGAGGCCATGAGGCAACAGGCACAGTCCAGGTAAGGCTCAAGGATTGTAAAGAAGCACTTGATGGAAATCAAGATTTCATGTTTCCATGTAAATTACTTTCATTTCCACATCCCAAATGCTATCTGAGAATGACATACCGCAGTTAAATTTAAGGCTAAATTTATATCCCTGAAGAAAATATTTTCCTATGTTATATACAGTGAATACAGGTCACAAAAGTTAAAAGGTTTTCCTACAGTCCTTTAAATGAGTATCCAAGTCAACTAACTTCCCAAACCTGGCCTTAACCAGAATATCATGCTTGCCTAAATGTATGTTTGTATTTATGAACAAATGTAATATACCATTTAATGCAAAGCCTTGGATGAGACTCAGGAAAACAAATATCCACTGTCAGATAAGTGCACGAAAAGAAGAATCTAGGGAAACTTGACATTCCTTATCTTCTGGTATTTCTGTAAAAAACAAAACCAAGTAAACATAAAAAGCTTAATGTTCAGACCTTACCTGCTTTGCAACAATAGAAGGTCCCTGTCAGATTTGTGTCTATCACGGCATTCCAGCCTTTTGCACGGATGGCTTCAGAAGGACTTGCAAACTGGCCCCCTCCATTATTCACCAGGAAGTCAATCTTCCCATGCAGACTCAGCGTAGACTTCACCAAAGCTTCTACCTGAAACAGTATTTGTTAGTGTGGTATGCTGATCAAGGTCTGCACCCAATTTTGTTCTCAGACAGTATATTCTCCTGCATGCCCTTTTCACAGCAAAAGAGGAGGTCTAGCCTTCAGACAGGCTGTAAGATTGGCAGGACAGGTTTAGCCAACCAAGAAGGACTGGGCTGTATCCATGTTTACTTAGGAAATTTTGCTGGAATAATGCAGGTGCTGCATAAAATACCAGCACCCAAAGAAGAAGGGGATTTAAGCTGCTGAAGTTTTGTAAAATCAAACAGACACAAAAGCCCACTACATGTGGCCTACTAAGAATCTCCTGATGTTTTTCAGAAGAGTGGGGGCGTTCACATGAGATCTGCAAAGAGTTCCATATAAGGTAGCTACTGTTATTTTTATCTGACCATATACCTGACCATTTTAAATAGAAAACATAATTCATCCTGTGGAGTTTTATCACCCTTATATAGAAGTTTAGTATATTCACTACAGCTCTGACATATGAGTTGGCAATAGCCAGTCTTCTTACACAGAGAAGAAGGTTAATTATCCTACAAAACATGAAGTCTAAAAAATGCTGGAAAGGCAAATTATCTTCTTTAGCAAAACTATTATTGCAAGATAGTAATAAGAACTTCATAGCAACAACTTAATAATTTAATATTTATCTCAAGAAACAGGAAACGGGACAAAATGATTGTTTCCTGCTTACATCATCAATCATAACTAGATACCATGCATCGGTTATTCCTACTCAAGCATATACAAAAAGATAACCTTTTTAAAAAAAAAGGTTAAAAAAAAGAGAAAAACACAGAAAAAAATCCCCAAAAAACAGGTGGAGCAATGCTGCCACTCAAACAGATTGGGCTAGGGGAAGGATATCAATCAGCAATACAACATCAGAAAGAGAAAAAAGTGCAAGCAATGCATTATCTGTATCTCACAAGGAGTGTTACCAACCCAGTCTCACAAATAGCTGCCTTACCATCTACTTACTAATCTTTTATTTCTAACAGCGCAGAATGGTTTAACAGGACAGTATGGATCCTGTAAGGATGCACCTCTTGAAAGAACAAAACCCTAAACAAACATATAATGAGTGAAAAACTAGTGCCTGCTGGGAAAAAATGCCTTCAATACCTAAACCCAATCCTCAAATTCTGAATGTCATCTTATTCCTCACTTATTAGTCAGTTTGTGGGATGTGAGAAAAAATGCAGAAAACCAAATCATCTGTGACAGCAGTCCCAAACTCATAGCTTACAAGAACAGCCATGCCACAAGGACATTCTGGCTTTTACTTTTCTCTTGTGAGCAAAGGAAAGTTATGTCTGGCTAGGCAGCAAAAGTTATGCTTTGCTCAGCAATATCAAACTCTTCTCCCTGTCAGTCTGAGAATCTTGCTTTGAATATTACTCTCGGTCAGTCACTGAAATATGGGCTCATTTATGGAACAGAAATGGTTTCAGTACAAAAAGATTTGAACAGACTAAGGCTATTCACACTGTGGAAATACGAGAAAGAATGCAAAATGCTAAGAATGATAAAAAGAAAAGACTGAAAACAAATTAACAAGAAAAATCCACTGAGAAGAGACATTAAAGCAACTTTTCAACAGCTGGAAAAAATGTATGCTATATGCTATAGCATATCAATTCAAAATGGTTCATCTGTTGCACTCAAGGAACTGCTGTTGCTCCTATGTGTTGCACCATACTCATAGGAAAAAAAATTAGAAACCAACAACAAACGTGTATCAGTTCTGCTTTCTGAAAGCCAGGGAAGGCCAGAAGGCTCTCCAGTGACAGCTCAGACGGCTCCAGCTGTAGCAATCTTCACAAAGTCTTCTGTGCTGTAGGAAAGTATCACTGAAGTGCTTCTCCCAGTTACAGCAAACATGGTGGCAGCAGCCAGCAGCACAGGGAGAAGGAGGGTCTGGTAGAACACATTTAAATCACAGTGACTACTAAAGAAGATTCTTTTCTATTGCTATAATTAAAATATCCACTTGGAAAGAACTTCTTAGAAAAGCTATTAAAGACTCTCTCTGGAAGCAAAGCAAAGCTGCATGAGGCAGAGCTACCAGTTTAAGACATTCTTCTGAAAAAGACAGAAAAGAACAGAATCAGGCACTTCAGACATAACCAGAAGACTGGAACATATAATAAGGAACTTATCTGCAATAAGGAACTTTTGTGTGTTATTTCAGCTGAGATGTATTAGGCAGTAGCACATACTCACAAATAACTGAGATGACAGCAGTCACTGACTCAGGGAAAAGGGACAAATGTCTACATGCATTCACAGGTCACCCTGAGTGAGTAAAATACACAGGAAAACAACCCACCAGTCACTGACTCAGGGAAAAGGGACAAATGTCCACATGCATTCACAGGTCACCCTGAGTAAAATACACAGGAAAACAACCCAGTACAGAGTTTTAGAGATTTGTGATATGGTGGCTAGAACTAATAGGCATTCTGGCACAGTGGTAACAGGTATTTTTACTGTGTTACTGCTGTGTTATTTAAAAGTACAACAAGAAGAATCTCTTATCCACAACTCCCCACCAAGCTAAGGTCTTTCACTACAGGCTTCACACAGACAGGCATTAAGTATTTATAAACCAACTGAATCTATGCTAAGCTATAAAGTTTATTGGAAAAGAAAAGCAGCTAGTGAGCTCAGACACAAGGTATGTGCTAAGTAGCACTGCCCTGACTCTGTCTGAAGTTGTCTTGTTGATGTCCAATTGACAGATTTTACCCTCAGGGTCTGGTCCAGCAGCAGGTTCTCTTGCTGGAGTTCAAGTATGGAAAGGAGACACCATGAACAGAATTCTGAATTGTTGATTTCAAGAACAGCTGTGACCTTCCAGAAGTACAAGGATTTCTTTTCCATTTACCTAGACATGTAAGCTTCTACTAATCTAGGTGCCAAAAGAAATGTTTGTCCACAGAGTATTGCAAAAAGGCTTTACAAGTATAAGGATTTAAAGAGTGCTGCTGCCTGTCTCAGAACACTGTCGAGGCCACAGAAGGAACTTACCAAAAGATGATAAGCCACCAAAGCAGGAGCTTCTTGAGAGAAGCACAGAAGGGAGGAATTTGCAACAGGAAAGCATTAATTCCAGGCCTAGCAGAGGTAAGATTGGGTTAGAACATCTTGGTTAATGCATCCAGACAAAAGTGCCCACTGTGGCAAACTGTGGGAAAGGAAGCAACTGCTCATACACATCAACCCAAGTTATGGGAAGGGCAAGATCGGGTTAGAACATCTTGGTTAATGCATCCAGACAAAAGTGCCCACTGTGGCAAACTGTGGGAAAGGAAGCAACTGCTCATACATCAACCCAAGTTATGGGAATAGCACCTGTGACCACCCCATGGGTACTTGAAACTTGGCCAGTGTGAAGGTGGTATCCCCAGAAGACTGACAGGACACTGCTGCGTCCATGGCTCGTGACCATTATCTGCTTGGTCTCTGTCTCTCTCAGGCTCTCTCCCTGCCTTCCTCCCCTTAATTCAGACATTCGTTCCTCATGTCTTGTCCCTGTCAACAGATTTTGCTGTAGCTCAAAATTCAAGACACAAAAATAAATAAATAAAGATACACATGCACACAGAACTGTCTGGTTTGCATCTCGGCAAGAGCAAACTGATCTGCTCTCAACACATTATGAGGCCAGGAAATATGCAAACAGTGAAAACCACTTCAGTTTCATAATCACTAAGAAGCAACATCTATCACTATATACACTCCATACCACAGGAAAAGGGAACAGATTGTGCACCTGCACAATCACTGCTCCAGGATAAGGCCCCATGACAGAATATAGAAATATATTCTGATGACAGAATAGAGAAACCTCAGGGCCTCTTATCCCAGAACCCTCTACTCTGCCATTTTAAAAAATAAAACAGGTTTTTTATTCTTTACAGAACACTCAATGGAAAACTCAAAACCAGCAGCAAACTCCTGACAAAAATAAGCCTGACAGGTTATGCAGTGGTTCAAACCCTTCCATCAAGCAGGATTATTTCTTGCACATTAAACAAAAAGTAAGCTTTGCTAGAAAGCAAAAGGGCTTCTGAAGATGAAGATTTAGAGACTTAAAAATGTGAATTCATTAAACTATTCCCATGATATTTGCCATCAAGCTTCTGCAGTAATTAATTCACTGCACCTTCTTTGCCTCTTCCTAGGCCAGAAAGAGCTCTAACAAACATCCTGGACTACATGGTGAGGGATGAACCTTCTAATGCTTGAATTTCACAGATCCAAACTAGAGGCATGAACCGTGTCATCTTCAAAGCAGGTCAGTTACTTTAAGATTTGCAATAGGAGGCAAGAAATAATCTTCTGGCAATTTGAAAGCAACTTCATCTTTCTTAAATTTTCCCTACTCAAAGTCCCTCCCTCCAGTTTACAAAATTCAAACCAGGACAAAATTTATAGAGGCCTTTAGAGAAATGCAGAACAACTGATAGAGCAGGAGGGATTAAAAAATGGAATTCTGTGATAAGAAGAAATGGCTTGATCCTACAGGTGATCAGGGTGGCTTCCTTTAAAACAAAGATTTACTCCTAGAAAGACTTCAATGAGATGTCAGAGAGAATGATGTATTAAATGAATTATGTACTTCTTCAGGAAACTTCCTGGGCTTTGAAGCTTGTGATAGATCACTTCTGACATCTAAGGGAGCTTGAACTCCAAAGGTTTTTTTTTCCTGTTGAAACATTTATAATGTTTTTCTCCTGCACATGTTCTTTGGTACCTGGTGTAAGAGCTAAGGAGGAGGATGTTGCGACTCACACAGAATTCTTGCAGAGGCTGTTCCTCTCTACCCAACAATGTGCTCCCGTGATTTCTGAGGTACATACTCTTCACTCACACTAAGCTGAAAGCAAACAATGAGTTGTAATGTTACTAATGAGTAGCACACAGGGCCAACACAGTTGTAACTAGTCTCACTTCTTTCATGAAGGAAACCAAAAGTTGACATGCCCTCCCATCCCCTCTTCCACTGTAACAGGAAGCTCTTCCTGCATTTGTGAAAATTCTGAAGTGAGTTATATTAATGCGTTACCTTTACTCAGTATTTGCCTCCTTGGCTAGAAAAATCCTTAACAACATCTTTTACTGATTCTTATGCCTATGACTCCAAGTCCCAGGCACTAAATTTTAAGTTAAGAATGGAGTAAGTTTTAAAAGTGGATGTACATACTTTATGAATCTAAGTAAAAGCCCAAAGGTACTTTTCCTCTAGTTTCCACAAGGCAAGCAAGTGAAAATTAGGAAAAAAGTAATTTTCACCATTGCTGCTCTAGAAGACATACTAAATAAGCAATAGAGAGCAGTGGGATGTGGAAAACCTGCCAAACATCTCCGTTCTGACAGTTTTTAGCAGTGTAAGTTAACAATTATTAATTTGAATTTATCTAGTTTCAACCTACAAAGTACCTAAGTGTAAGGTACCTAAGCACTATCCTCACTACAAATTTGAGAGCTGAAAACATAAATTTCTGGTCCAACAGTAAATTTAGTAACACACAGTCAGGATTTAGCAATCTTTGAGAATCTCAGCATTAACAGAAGAGAACAGAGCCAGAGAGGCACAAGCTGAAGAACAAAAATCACAGGATGTCTCTAACCAATAAAATATCTGGTCTTGGAGATGGGCATCTGGAATGGAGAAATATTTACCAGGTACACAAGTTCTTATGTTAACATGCAACAGAAACTACATTCATTATTCAGATCGTCAGCAAAAGGCTTATGAAAATTTCATAGTAATTTTTTCTAAATAGGACTTGAACAGAAATAAGTAAGAGCAACTGCAGAACTGAAGTGAGTCAAGCTATAAGACTAAATCAATGACTGAAAAGTTCAAGACTAGAGTTTAATCTGCCTTTTTCCTCTGAAGCCTGTCTTTGATAGAAACAGACATGAAAGGACAATGGGTGAAGAGAACTTCCACTGATGGGAGACACCCAATAAAAGCTTCACTAATATCATATGAAAAGTTCTAGGAAAGTTCTGGTGTGTCTGTAAACGGGCAGAGCTCAAATTTGAAACAGGACAATTCTATGATAAAACTGCAAGGTAATAGCAAAGACAGAAGTTTCTTCAAGTATCAGTATGGCTACCCATAACACAGAATAATGCCTAAACTCTTTACACAGCATTATAAAGAAGGCTTGAAAAGCACCTTCAAAAATTTCCAAAGCCACTTAAGCCTGTTTTGTCAAATAGGCATTTAGCCACACTAAAGACGAAAATAAAGAAGGAATGTCAGTTTGGTGGAGATTACCTTATTTCACCATCCAAGCAAGCCCCAAACTATCTCACAGACTGCTGTAGTTCTCACTGATCAATTCCACACTGATACAGAAGTAAGGTTCACCTGCAGAAGGTTATTAAGCATGCCAGAGTAGTTTCTGCAAGAAACACATCTGAAAAAAAGCTTAAACCTTTTTTCCTCTTTACCTCTTTCTTTCCTGTAGCTTTAATCATGCAAGTTGCCCTCTGACATCTGCCATAACATATTATGTTGCACTGCTGATGCCAGTAAATACACACCTAAAATTCACTGGTAGGTGAAGTGACAGTGCACAGCCCCAGGGTGCATATCCTTCAGGAGAGAAAGTCTGAGTAGATCACTATAAATATTTTATGGCACGAACTGTTCCACAAGGGAAGAATTTTAATTTTTATTTGTTTTATGGCTATATCTTAGAATATTTCCAGCATTCTTATAGCTACTGAAGGTCATTAATATTTAGGTTAAGAGAGACTTTGAGAGGTTTAGAAAAATGCTGCAATCAGTGGTTACTGGAAGATTTTCTAGCTTTCTTCAAAAAGTTAAAAATCCAACCTGAAGTTGGGCTTCTAAATATTTAATTATAGAGATAAAAGAACTCGGAGGTGCATGCAGACTTGAAGAACCTGGATTATGTACTTTTACTCTTGATCTTCCCTTTTTTGTAATATGAAGAAAAAAATTTAAAATCAACTTGAACAGTAACAGAGTTTGCAATGAGGAACACCTCAAACTGTAACCAAAATTTCTGACATGGCTAAAATATTATGTATCTGTGGGTTTTTTTGGCTTTACTACAAGCCAAACTGACAATGCAGGGCACTTGTGTCAAGTCACAAGCATTCAGATTCCATGCTATGCCTTCCTGTTTGAAGGAACTATTCTGAGGTCTCCATCTTCACAAGTTTACACCCCCTCACTGCTGTCACAGCAATGTGACAAAGAATCATGCTAAGTGGGCTCTGCCTCACTGTAGAACATGCCAGTTACAAGGCCTGCATCTCCCAGAAATATCTGAAATATGTAAGCGTGGCCAGAAAAATATTTGCCAATATTTACAAGTGCTTTTTTGCTTAGATGGCTAACAAATGTCTTTCCTTGAGAAGCACACCTATGCAGATGAATTTACTGATCTTTGCTCCACCTTTCCCCTGATCTAAGCTACTTTTGAGAAGGCCAGAAATCTTTAGAGATCTGAGAATTTATATACACAATATGCTTCTGATATGTTAAGCCCCAGAACTAGGTCACTAATCTTTACCTCTTCTTCTTTGCGGATATTGCACGCTATGGGGGTCACTTGGGCAGGACTCATGGAGGCAAATCTGTTATTCAGCTCTTCTGCAGCAGCTTTTAATCGGTCAAATTTACGAGAGGCAATAACAACACTGCAACCTGTGTGTGGAGACAAAATGAAACATCATTCAGCTAACACAATTATGCTATGCTTTTTAGTAACATCGCAGAGATGTCTTGTAGGATGTGCATTTATTAGTCACTGACTAGAAAATACAGTGTTGAAGTTCTTGCAAGAGAGAAATGACTGATGTCAGATGCTTCTTAGCAACAAGATCCCTCTGTGCCAGGAAAAGAGCAATTAAAAAAAAATGTCCACAAGATTTCCTCTCCTTCCTGCAGAAGAGAAGATAGCCTGTGAGTTGCAGAGTCAGCAAAGCAGCCTTCAGACATCACTTCTGCTGCTTCTGCTCACAGCTGCCTTGTTTATCAATTAAATGATTTAAAGATGTTTCAGCAGGTCTTGATTACAAAAAAATGCTTGCTCTTAGAACCATAAAACCATCTCCTTGTACAACTGGCTGTAATTTTGACTAGCAGTGAGCAAATGTAATGGTCTGTTTTTTAACTCTACAGAGACTGAAGGAAAGGATAATAGCCTCACAAGATCAATCCCTATCTGCAGTCTACAGACAGCAGGAACAGAGCCCTCCCTGTGGCACTGCAGAATCCTAGCTGCAGAAAGGAGAGAAAAAAAAAGGCAGGAACTCAAGTACTCCCTTTTTTCAGCATTTGGAGGAAGAAGGATTCATTCTATGGAGAAAAAACAATGCAGGTGCCAAATTTAAGTTAAGCACTCACACTACAACCAGTCTAATTTCTTCATCTTCTTTCCACATCAGTGGACTCAGGACAGCTTTAAGGCTTCAGCAATTGCTACTACACAGACTAAGCCAAAGGACACCGAATTAATTCCTAGATCAGTGGACTCAGGACAGCTTTAAGGCTTCAGCAATTGCTACTACACAAAGCCAAACGACACCGAATTAATTCCTAATGCAAATCCAGCAGGCATGCAATATCATGCAATGGATAAGCAAATTACTAGCCAAGCAGGCAAGGAGGTCTTGTTCCCAGTTTGCTCCTTCCATTATCTTAGCATTTCAGCAGAAGTAATCTCTTCTTCATATCAGGTCTGCTGCTCATCTGCTTTAATATAAACAATCCTCAGCCAGCCAAAAAAAATAAAAGGGAAAAAGTTAACATCTTGCCAGGTATGGGGCCTTTTTCCCTCCTCTGCTGCAGAGTGGAATTTGGCCTCTCATGTGATCAAGCAAACACAAGAATCAACTCAAAATAACTAGAGGGAGGAAAGAGCAGCAGGCTGTTCATTTGACTCAGGCTGTCTTGTGAAAATATGTATTAAAAATATTAAAAATAGAGGAGTTTAATTCTTCTAGGGGGAAGCTTTATAACTATATATCCTTAGGAATAGGAGCTTCACCCCTAATTAGTGGCTATCTTAAAACAACACATATAAAGACAGTAGTCTCTGATTTTTTCTAAATTAAGAACTCCATTCACTTGCACAACCTAACTAAAGCAAAGTTCATAAAATGCCACACATAATTACCAGTTAACACAAGATACTGAATCACAGTAGCCCAGTTGTATTTACCAACTTAAGTGCTTATTAATACACACATTGATATAGAATAAGGTCCAGTAAGAGACTATATTTTCGCTAAATGTACTGACTGGGAGAGGGAGAGATTGTAATCACTGAAGAGCATTTGGTACATAGTGTGCAAGCTGACAACGTCACTTAATTTTCTTCACAAAGAATGACCAGACCATTTCCTGATAGCATCAGGGAAAATAGCACAAGTTTCCAGATAAAAGGTTTAAATTTGCCCAGAAGGCCTCAAAGGAGACTGGTTATATAAACAATGTATATCATGACTAGCATTATGGGTCACTGCTCCTATGCCTGTAAGAACCAGCCCCCCTTACCTGAAGTGCAGAGTATACCTGGAAATAGTTCCTAATCATCATCTTGTCAGGAGTAACCAGCAAGTCTACAGGTAAGGAAGGTTACTCAGTCAGTCTCGAGCCCTGTATAGCTCTTTCTTCATTTTTTCTCATGTGCTTTAATAGATTTGTTTTCTATTGTGTTCTATTCAGGCTGTTACGGACACACTTTTGCTATTGTATTTTGTTTGAGAAAAATAGCAAAGATCAAATTAAGCATAATTTTAAGGTAACTGGGTAACATCACCAAGCAACAGTGTGTGATGACACTTAAAAAGCACCTCTTTAAAGCGGCATGTAAGGACAGCTAAAAAAAAAATACTCAGTTCCTCAATAATACAAAGGTAACAGAACTAATCCTCCATTCAGCTCTAGTGGAAAGCTGCGGTACAAAGGCAAGGAAAGACAGAGCTGTCTCCCAGCACAGCGTAACAAAGAAAGCTCTTTACTATGCAGTGCAGCGGTGCGCATTCCAACAATGCAAACCACGGGAGTGTGACACCGAGGGCTGTAACGCCAGCGCTGGTATCCCCAAAGCGCTGAATCTAATCATGGCAACAAACTATCCAAACCCAGCCTGTGCCGATGATCCCTAGCAGAGCTGAAATCTGCAGGAAAGGTGTTGCAAGGTGAGTGTAGGAGTCATTCCTATCGCTCCTGGTCTTGGACTGCCTTTCACTGTAGGTTTTACCACTTCTCTGTATTCAGAGTGGAAAGAAAAGCTACGCCGTGCATCATGACGATGTTCTTCAATTTCAGGACACACTGGGAGAAGCATCACGTCTCTAAGATGTAACTGTGCGGGCAGCAGTTTAAGGACACTGCTCTGTAAGGATCAAGGTTCAACAACCTCGTAAATCCTCCAGTTAAAGCAAGACGAGAACTCACTGAAGAGAGAGTCTGAGAGAAAGGGTCCTGGTTTAACATAACCTCACTGACCTCTGTGTTTAAACTGGCGAGTGTTTTGCGGGCCAAAAGGCACAGCCCCACATGAACCTCACCTCGTACCCCTTGCTGATCTTGTCACAACGTCCCACCCACGGGCTCCTCGCCCCGTCTCAAAGCACCGTCAGCCCCCGAAAGGCAGCACCGCCCGCGGGGGCTTCCCGACGGCCCCTCGAGCTCCATCCGCCCTCCCAACCCCCGCCTGGCCCCGCTGCCCCACCGGGGCTTCCTGCGGAGCCCGCCCCGCGCCCACCTAGCGCCAGCAGGTCGGCGGCGATGGCTTTGCCGATGCCGGTGCCGCCGCCGGTGACAATGGCGACCCGCCCGCGGAGCAGCCCCGCCGCCAGCAGCCCGCGCCCCGCCGCCGCCATCTTCCCCCTGCTCCCCTCGCTGCTGCCGCCGGCGGCGGCGGCGGTGCCCGGGTCCAGTGGCGCGGCACGGCGCGGCACCGCGGCGGCAGGTAAGGCGGGGGGGCGGCTGTCCGCTGTCGGTATGGCTCGGTTCCCGCCCCGCGGGGCAGGCACCGCTCAGCGCCGGGAGGGGTCGGAGCCTGGCGTGGCGCCGCGAGGTCGCCGCTGCAGCCCCGCAGTGAGCGCCCACCCGCCCGCAGCCGCGGGCTCGCCCGCTTGCCAGGACGGGTCTCCTTGGTTTTCTGTTCCGCTTCGGGTCACCTTCCCCGCGGAGGCGGGCAGGCGCCCCGAGGAGCAGCGGGAGCCGAGCCGCACCGGGAGCAGCCGGCGGCTGTCGCGGACAGAAGAAGGTGCTGGCGTGCTCCTGCCGCGGACAGTCCTCTCTCCGGGCTTGGACTTTGTAGGGAAGAGGCCGTGAAGACAGGTGACAGCGTGTACCATGTCCCCAGTAGAGTCATTTTGGGCTCAAATGCCTTTGTGGTCGTGATGTCCGTCCCCCCTCTCCCGGCCCCCTTAAAATGGCCCTAACTAAGCTCAGTATTAAGTGCTCTGCTGATTCAGAGGACAGGCAGCATGATTTTCTTTTCTATCCCACAGCGAAGTGACAGAGCATCCTTGTCCGTTGCAGGTGATTTTAACCGGCGCCGATGTGCCCAGCAGCATGTGTGTGCATGTTCAGTGTCTTTCCAGGCATCTCCTCTGTCCTCTGCAATAGAAGAGATGTTTGAAAGTATGTCTCAATTTTGTCGTGTTATTTTTGCCTTTGGAGAGTTGGCTAATGTGAGAAAAGAGTGAAGTTTGGGGGTTTTTTTAAAGACATGTAAGTAAAGTGGGAGAATCATTGAGTCTCTTTTGGGATTCTCATTTGTGAAATGAATTTATTTAGTTTTCCAAAAGCACATTTTAAGGTTTAATACTTTAAATCAGGGACAATTTTAGTATAATGTGTATATCCTGTAGTTCAGTGTGTTTCGATGGAAGCTGCTTACCCTCCTTTTAAGAGTGTGGGAGGGGGGGCATGGAGGAGTGAACTGGGTATCCAGATTCATTCACCTGAAATGAAAGGTTGACAAGACAGGGGTGCATTTCTGCATGGTGGCTTAGGCCAATAAGGAACTGTTAGACAAAAATGCCATTTTCAGGTGGGTCAGTGTTTGCAGAACCCATCAGTGTTGAAAGCATTCCACTTTCTGGGAGCAAAATGTGAAGCACTGTGAGTGACACTGCAAAAATTTTTTCCCCCCTCCTTTTAATTATCTTTCACAATCTGAGACTTCACAGATTCCCATTAACTGTCTCTGGCTGCCCTACATATCTTAGGCAGGCCATATCAGAGCAATCATTAATTAATCCCAGGGAGAAGCACTCATCTGTGCTAGTGAATTAGATCTTCATATTCCAGCCTGCCTGCCATCCCAACTGAGCTGCATGGCTCCAAGAAAAATCCAGTGGGCCTTTCTACTCATGTGACCTCCTTGACTTCAGTGTTCTTCCTAGAGAGCACTATCAAAGAATTTTTCTTCCCTATCAGGATATATTGCTTGGTTCCTGCAATTTCCCAGGAGCCACGGAAACGCCATAAATAAGGGGCTTATTACACATGAGTTAGGGTTCTGTGAGTGATGGGTGGGAGGAAAAAGGCATCAAGACTGGAGAGGAAGGAGGAGGGAAAAGGAGACATCCATTCCTTGGCATTCAGTGGAGGGTAGCCCCTTCTGGTACAAAATGTATTCACAAAAAATAGAGCTGGGATAACCAATGCTCACAGACATTTTCAGCAAAGCAGTGGCTTCTGTTCACTGTTGTGTGTGTTGCCTTTTGAACCAAGGACTCAAACTGTACCTTTGTGTGAATTTATTTGTCCCCAGTAGTTCAAATTCAAAATTATTTAATCTGAAAGGAAGAAAATCTTATTAACTAAAATAAATTTTAATCTTCTCATATGCTTGTACTTTTTAAATCACAAAGGAATGTTACTTTTCTTTTATTGAAAGTATTAAAACATGTCTGTCTGTCACTCCACACAGACAATGGTAAATTCAGTAAGGATAAGGCTTTTGCATATTGATGTTACTCTATAAACTTAATGTTAAGATTCTGAATTTTTATGTGTTAGAAAATAGTGTCTGATTAGACAGCTTATTTTTTTTCAGTATATGTCAGCTTGAATTTGGAAGAAAATAAATCTGCATTTAAAGCTTTTGAGTCTTAATTTTTGTTTTCTGAAGTTAACCATCTGACTTTTTTTTTGCCTTGGTATAACTATCACTTAAAACATCAACCATTCAAAAGTCAAAATGACAAAAAAAAAGAATTCAGTATTTTTTTCCAGTTGTCAGCTCATTTGGAGTTGTAGGATTAGCATATGTCATTCTTGAACATCCTCTTTTTTATTTACATATTGAAGAGAAAAAACTAGATTTCCTGTTTTTTTAGATTTCCTAGCTCCCAGATTGTGTCTTGGCTTTGAATGAAGTAGTTCAATTTATTGAGATGAATAGGAAACTCTGCATTTTCAGAAAAGGCTGCTTTTGTCCAAAGCTGTGCTTTGCCAGCCTATGGCTCAGATTGCACCTGCCAGTCCAGTATGCTGCCATGCTTTAAAAATCCTGGCACTGATATGTACTGCCTTGAGAATTCCTTCTGGCATGCTGTCCTTCAGGGTGTCTGTGCCCTCCTATAGCTCAAAATCGGTGTTGGCATGAGGAAAGGTCTCAAGAGTAGTTAAGTACCAACCTGATGAGAGAGAAGAGGTGGCTCCAAACAGGAGAGAAACCTCTGCAGGATTCAAACCCTGTGAGAGGTATGCTTGGGGTCAGCAGTCTCACAAGGAGGTGAGGGCAGAGGAGATTTAATGAAAAGCACCTTAGTGCAAGAAATAAAATTTTAGGGTTAGAGACAGCTTTTCATAGAGGATTTCTGCTAGTTAGCCTTCAGAAAAATGCAGGGTTGTACTCCAGTAGCCTCTGCTTTCCCAGACCCCACTCTTATTGGTGTTCCAGGCTCATATTTTTCTTCTCCTGGGACAGCAAAAACCACGCAAAGTGTAACAACAATAATTTCTTCTCTTCCATTACAAGAAATACTTGGATTGAGCCACAAGCAAATGAAAGCTGGCATGAGTTGTGTCCTTACCTCTCTCTAGACCTTTCCATGGGATTATGCAATAGGCCTCTTTGGAAATCCCTGCTACTTTCTCCTCCTGTCTGTACATTCTCTCCTGAGGCTGCTTTTCCTTTCATCAGCTCTCAACAGCAAGTGAGAGCCTTTCTGTTTTGTGGCTTCTGGTTTCCATATCAGAACAGCCTCCTGGTCAGACCCAGCTGACGTTCAGGCTCTCTGGTCAATTCATCTTTTTAGGGACTTCCTCTCTGGAAAGGCACTTTACTCTCAGCTATGTCTGGGGGGATTTCAGTCTAATTAGAAGATAATCAGGATTTTACAATCTTTTATCATTATCCCTAGCAATTTCACTCCAGTGATTTAAAAAAAAAAAAAAAAGAAAAAGAAAAAAAAAGGAGATACCAAGACAGACATCCCACTCAAAGCAGAGTTTGCAGTTGTGTGAGATATAGAATATCAGCATCAAACAGTTGAAACAGGTTCATAGGAAGATTTTCTAAACAATTACATACCCTGCTAATACCATACTAATGATACTGAAGCATTCACTTGTTTGCAATTCAAAGTGCTACATTTTTAATATCCTGGCATCACAGGTCTCTATCTCCACTTGTATCCAATCACAACTCCCCTGAGCCAAGTAATTCCTGCTCCTGGAGATACTGTCTAAATATCCTAGATTGTGTTTATTGTGCAATGCATTAAACAGTCCTGAATCACTCCCAAGGGAATATTCTAGTTCACTCTGTGTAGTTGTGCTTTCCAGCAACTCCTGGGCTGCAGCCAGGTGTTACTCAGAGAAAGCTCTGATTTGAAGCCCCCAAATATCTTGTCTAAAGAAGAACCACAGGATGTGTGTAGCTTGTTGTTGGTATTTTCAGATAATGCTTTCCAGACTGGATTTAGAATTGACTGTATTTTCCATTAGGCTGTATGGCTGCAACTGCTTCCTCTCTAATTGCAGGTATTTCAATGTGTGGTTTCTCCTCATTTTGTCAGAGAAAAGCACTGACTGGGGTGCTTGATCTTGCCAGCACAGAGCAGGGCAGGAAAGGGGACTGAGACTGAGATGATCAGGGATCTTCTGAGTAGGAAGGAAGGAAAAAAAGCCTGAGGTGTTAACCAGGGTCCCTGCTTCTAGTTATTGTAAAGGTCAGAAGAGTCCAGCATGCATTGAAACCTTCTCTTGAGACCACTGTGTGATGGAGGACTTGGAGCCCTTCACTGGCATCCCCTGCAGTCAGGTCTGTAGCAAAAGTCCTGTGTTAGCACAGGTGCTTCACCACTGGTGTTTCATGGCTTTGGAGCCACTCCCAGTGATTCTTACTTCCACGTGTGCATGTGTATGTGCTGTGTAGGTGTTTTCTCTGCACTCTGGTTTGTGTATGCAGCAACAGTTCCTAGAGCATCTTCCAAACCCATTGAAGGACAAGTTGGGTCTTATACCAATAAAAATACATGCTACACTTGATCCCAGCCTAAAGGCACTGCTGTGGAGGCAGGGTGTTTGACTAAAGTTGGTGGGATTGACTTTGTTCAGATATTCCTGTGGTACAGTGTAATCCATTAGTGACCTTGGCACATGGGGTAGGGATTGCAATGAGCACCTTCTCTTTCAAGATGCAGGATGGCTTGTTTTGGCAAATCCAGAAGTGAGGGGTAGAGCAGAACAACAGAAAGCATGCCTCTACAGTTGAAATTTCTTACAAAATTTAGAGACTTGGGTTGACTTTATTCAAGACTCATATCTAAATGCTTGGTTTGCTTTGAAGATTTCAAACCTTCCATTTCCAAATCAGGCTCCTTTTAAAACCTTGGTTCTCTTTAAAGTCTAATGTGCCCATGCCATTCCTTGACATTTTT